TTGTCAATAAGATGAACATATTTGAATCTTCATGTCATTATTAGATGAAGATCAATTTGAGATATTGTAGGATTTGTAACTTCCAATTAAAATATTTGGGAGTTACATAAGAATGACTAATGACCTAAATACCCTTATCATTAATATGTAAGTTACATTTTAACCAAACCCAAAGATGCAACATTATTGGTTGATGTGGGTTAGCAAAGTTTGCACAAAATATTGGGTTAGTATTTGAACCACCCTCTATATAGGTGTGTGTGTATATATATATATATATATATATATATAAAATAATGATAATTAATAATATAAACATATTATTAAATCAATTTGATGTTTTATAGATTTTAGGGATAACACAATTTCTAACATCCCTATTAAGAGGTGCCATTAGCATTCTCTATTTACAATTAACTAGAAGGGTACTCGTACAATACAACGAGATACATCTTAATTTTAGTGTTTCGTGTTTTCTTTTTAGTCGATATTATAATACGGTTTTATGTACTTTTGAGAAAGTGATAATGTTTTTATGTTTGAATAAAATATAAATACGATGATATTATAAAAATAAAAAAATATTGCTATTAGTATCAAACTAACTATTTAAATTTTTTCCTTTTTTTGTGTATTTCTTTAATTCATTTTTTTATTTTTTGTTTAATAATATAATTTTTTATAAAGATAATAATTAAATATTTGATTAAAACTCAATGATTATCTTAATTATATTTTAATTTTTTTATATTTAAAAAACAAAATGTTTATCTTTTATTTAATTATATTTATTTGAAATTAGTTACACGAGTTTAAATATGAAGCTTTAATAAATTGTACTTACACACAATATATTTATAATATTGAATTTTAAGTAATATGCATCAATAAACAGTATTTTATACATAAAAAATGATTTTTAAATTTTTTTATCAAATATTTTATAATATAATATAAACAGGTTTGATGTTTTTAATAATATACAGTTTTTTCTAGTTGGCTTGTAATGTAGATTATTGTGTAAATATCTTTAAGAAAATGATAACGATATAACATGAATCGTTGATTTCTATTTTTGTTGTTGGAATCTTTATTTATGTGGTTTAAAGCAGAGGAGGGTAAACGTCGACGGTTGACCAGAAAAGATGATGATCACTCAGATGGAGGAGCAATGGGGGTTATGTTCCATTTGCATATACCCACACTCTCATTCTCACTCTCTCTCTCTTCGCAACAAAGAGGAGAGAGATGGCAGTCACCACCATTAGATCTTTCACTCTCCAATCACCGAACAACCACCATCGCTGCCGTCACAGCAATAGCCGCCACCTCACCACTCCCCTCAATCTCAAAATTGTCACCCATACCCACAAAACCCATCTCTCATTTACCCTTAATAAGCTCCACAACCGTCTTCCTCCACTAACCCGATCATATTCCGGTGGGAATGGCGACGATGGTGTTGGAGGTGGAGGTGGAGGTGGAGGGGGAGGAGGAGGAGAAGATGGCGATGATGATGCAGGAGAGAAAAATAAAGCCGAGGCATTTCTTGCATTAGCTGAGGCTGGGAGATCTTTGGAAAGTATCCCGAAAGACATTGCGGCATCGATCGATGCGGGAAAGATACCTGGATCGATAGTGAAAAGGTATTTGGAATTGGAGAAGTCGGCTGTGTTTCGTTGGTTGCTTCAATTTGGTGGGTTTAAGGAAAGATTGCTTGCTGATGATCTTTTCTTGACTAAAGTTGGAATAGAATGTGGTGTTGGCATCTTCACTAAGGTTTGTTCATCTTCTTTCTGTCTTGCAAATTGGTTAAATGATTAAATTTGTTATTCTAAATTGCTGAGATTGTTTCATTTTCTTGCGGATCTTCTTGATTAGTTTTTGGTCATGAAAAGCTTATGTAGATCTAATATCTTTAACATAATACCTAGATAAAACTACACAAACCAATTCCTTGTAGAATATAGTGGAGGTATTTTTGACATTTGAAGTCAAATGGGCTATCTTTTTTCAAGTAAGAAAGTTAAAAATATCTTTTCTTTTTCGAAGACCATCATTTTCAAGTTCATATCATTTGTCACAAAATTCTAGTTTATAACAAATTTGAAGCTGAAAAAAGTAGTCCATTTGATGAGAAGCTAGATGCTCCACATATTTATGTGCTAGAAAAGATGAATTCAGATATCAGTATAAGATTGTTATGTATATTGGTGTGTGGGTACTTTGCGGTATAGTCCTTGTTCGGTTATCTATCAATGTTGAAGCTTTAGGACGCAAACAATAGAAGTGTAGCAGGGAAAATATCTACATATGGTTTCTAAGAGTTGGCTGTTGAAATCATGAAGCAATAATGTACGTAGGTCATGTGCCATATTGAACACCTAATCACATGTCAAAAAGCAAGGTTATGTTTTTGGCATTCGAGTTCTTTGTTGACTAACCTTGCAGTATGCTTGTTATTTTTGGGAGATCTTTTTTGAATTATAATGAATGGACACTCTTTCAAGACTAGGGATGTTGATTTGACACCTTGGTTATGCAATTTCTGTATTTGCTTATATTCATATTGTTGTTGCTTACTCTTATCTAGGTTTTCAAAATATAGCATATCTGTCTCTCTCTCTTTCTACTTTTTTTGATCTTGTCGACTATTATATAGCTTTTCAACTTTTAGCATATATGTTTTCTCCCTTTCACACACATTTACCCTTCTACTCTTTATATTGGTCAGGTCTGTCTACATCTTACCCACCCGGACTCCACCCCTGGGTGGGATATACTGAGCTCGCTTGGTTCGGTTTGGAATTTTAGTAGAAAGTAGAATCAACACGGTTGCTTAAGAAACAGTCTTCTTAGAGCATTTGTGTGTATATGTTGACAGTTGACTGCGCAATCAAAGGGAAATTTGTTTTATTTACTTTCTGGAGAAGAAGCTGAATATCTTTTGTTGCAACTCAACCTTTGTGTGTGATCCATTTCTTACTTCTTCTATTCTCAGTAATAAAATGGTAGATGAATCATTATGTCATAATATAGTGTATAAAAATGTGGGAGATGGTTTTCAAGGGATGCCGCAGGATGAACAGTGCTTATGGAAGAGTCTCCTGCCTGACTAGCCCTTTGTAGGTCTACCAAGTGGCCCCCAAAAATTATGCATGACGAGTCCTCTACCACAAGCAATATTCGTTTTAAGGTATCCCTTAAAAACCACGAGCCATACAGCATGTGTATAATGTCTATATTCATGTCAGCCTTGGGTTCCTTTCGGAGCTCATCTATGGAGAAAGATTCTCCAACTTTCTTGGATGCTTCCACTTAAGTTCTGATTACGTATTAATAATTCAATGTACCTTGTAATTGGGTAGAGCTTAATTTCTAATATCATTTGTACATGTGTTTGCACTTGAACCTGCCAGATGCAAGAGCGATATTTTTCAGTTCTTTTTTCTGCTTTCGTTCTTGTTTCTGTTTTTCCCTTTTCCCGTATTCTATCTACATTCTTCATCCTGATGTGGGTTTTTTCCCCTTGACACTCTGGTGGTCTTATAGAGTGCTGCAGAATTGGAAAAGCGAAGGGAAAACTTTACCAAGGAGCTGGATTTTGTTTTTGCTGATGTGGTATGGCTTCTCACCTATAAATGCTTCAGATTACTCTTGCTGTTAATTTTCATATCTTTAGAGGATATCTCTGATCTTTTTAATTAACAGTTTATACGTTTGGCAGAACTTTCTTTGTCGGTTGTTAATTCTTGAAAAACTACAACCAACAATGCTAATAGAAGTTTGTTTCAGATAATGGCTATAATTGCCGATTTCATGCTTGTGTGGCTTCCTGCTCCTACTGTTTCTCTTAGATCACCAATTGCAATCAATGCTGGACGAGTTGCCAAGTTCTTCTCTGGATGCCCTGATAATGCATTTCAGGTGATTGCTCAAACAAATAAACTTGATTTGTTTTTTTTTTTTGCACAACAAAAAGACTCCACCTTTGGCTTTTGGAACCTAGTGGTTTTCAAGATTTAAGTTGTTTTAGAAATTTATAATCTTGATTGTAATTTCTATACCTTTTTTTTTGTCATAATTTGTCTGTATGTAGTACTTTGTATATAGCTTCACATAGCTATCATATATCTCTCTCTTTTGAACTATATTAACTCATATAACCAACTTTTATCTTGATATTTTACTTGAGTATTTTACCCCCATATGCAGGTTGCTCTGGCTGGTACATCCTATTCATTCTTGCAGAGAATTGGTGCCATAGTGGTATGTTTGTAGTATGGCATTTATGGTATCGATTCTTTCTGAGTTATGAAGCTTTAAATCCTTTCATCTGGGTTTTGTAGCGTAATGGGGCCAAGCTGTTTGCTGTTGGGACTGGTGCATCTCTTGTAAGTGAACATTGTAAATATGGGTGCCTTCTATGATAAGAGTCCTATACTTTCAGGTGTCTGTTGTTCATAACTTATATCCCAAGTAGGGGTGTTTTAGTCATTTTCTTTTGCTGCAATTTATGCTTTTTTTTCAAGAGAACTATTTCTTTCTCCTCCATGATGTTAGCAGAACATTTTGTTTGGATTTTTCCATGTCTTGTTACTATGTTTTATTTGTTGCAGAATTGATCTTCTTCATTTGGCCATCAACTAACTCACAGCAAAGCTATTATCTACCACTTCTGTTTTCTACAGTCCAAAGCCGTATATACTTTTTTTACTGTAGAAAAGCTGATGTTTGACTTCAGAAAATCAAGTGAACTATTTTCCAATATCAAAATTATTGTTTATAAACTTTATTGAGAAATTTTGATACCACATTTGTCTTTATTACAAAGACTACTGTCTGGAAAAGGTTAGTGGTAGGCTGAAAACACAATCCATATTTGTTGCATTTGACAATTACTAGGGTTAATATGGATAGTGAAAATTGACAATGTAGCTAACTATTTAGAATGGAGGGAGTCCATGATGTGCGTTTGGTATGCAAACAGGACTGGACATGCGAGAGTGAGGTAGGTGGGTGAAAGAATTGTGGAAGGTTTTAGGGCTTTAATCTGACATGGGTAGTTTTGGTAATTTACCAATCTTGTTTCATCACCCTGATTTTTGTTCCACCTATTTTGGTGGGGAAAAAAATGCATTTTTGTCCCACTCAGTCCTGTCTTATCCCTATCTAATGTCACGCCAAACATGGAACAACAAATTTTTAATCTGTCATGTCCCGTCCTTTCCCACATACCAAGCGCACCATAAAAGTTTTGGCATAGGACTTATCCACGAAGCCCATAGTGAAAGAACCAACCAAATTCAAATTACATAACAGATATTCAACTCTATTTTTCTTTTCTTGGTGGGGCCGTGGGGGGTGCAGGCTTAACAATAGGTTTCTCGATGCGCTAATATTGATTAATAAATTATCACTTGGTACCGGTTTTGACATTTTGAACTTCATTATCATGATTGATAGCGGTTGTAGTAATAGATACTTTAAATTTCTGGATTCTTTCGGAATATAATTTTGGTAGCGTATGCTGATGGATTATATATATCAGGTTGGGACAGGTATAACAAATGGGCTGATTAATGCAAGGAAGGCCATTGACAAATCTTTTGCTGTTGAAGCCGAGGAGGACATTCCCATTTTGTCAACTAGTGTCGCTTATGGTGTCTATATGGCAGTTTCTAGCAACCTTAGGTATGTTCATCTATTACTGTTTTCTTTAACTTATCTGCTATATTAATTCTTATAGATCTTTCGCTCATTACCTGATGTTAATTTCAGTTGCTTAGAAAGATAACTGCTAAAGTAAAATCATCGTAGTATTTGAATGATTGCCGATCGTACCCACTTCGAGTTCTTCTTTGTGTATGCTGGTTCATGAACCGGGCTTGAACTTGGGCTTGTTGGTGACTAATTCCTTACCTAATGACGTCGTTTCATTAAAGTAAAAAATTAGGTTTGAACTGGATGGAGAACAGTTCTTTCGCTATAACTAGAACAGAGTAAAAAATTACCTTTGGATCTTCCATGGTCTCCAAAATGTCAAAGTATTGATAGATGGATGGCCAAATGGGAGGTCGGGTGGTTGGATTGAAAGCCTAATCCTGTATGTGTTCCTAAGAAAAGGAATTTGTCCATTTTTCGGGGTCTCAAAAGAGCGTAAGTAAAACAAATGCTTTTATAGCTTCCAAGATGCATGGAACCGTAAATGGCCTCCTAGTTCACCCTTTGCACCAAATCTGATTCATAATCATCCTGAATGAATCCTAAAACCATCTTGTATTCAGTTGATATAATGGCTAATATTACTTTAGTGTATTTGTTGTAATGTTAGGCATTAACATTGATAATGCTGTAAGGTTATGGTTTGTTTGTGAAGACGTAATGCATCAGCAAATCTGTAGGGTTAAGTTATATATTTCATTTTTTTCCTTGTTGGGTTATGGTCTATCCAAAGTACCTCATTTCGGATAGAGGGGGTACCATGAAGGTAGGGTGATTTGGGATATATACTTGCGTATAAGGACCTGTGTCCATCCATGTGTGACGTAGATGACTTCCCGGTTACACCAGGGATCAACCTCTTTGCGGTAATTTCGGATAAGATCTCTCATGGGATCAAGGCGAGTGTACATTATTTACTGACGACATTGCAAGAGAGAGGTGAATGTTAGATTGAAGCAAATGGTACCCCGAAAGAACAGTTTCAAGTATTTAGATCGAAGATTCCATTAAGAGGGAGAGGATTAGGAAGACGTTGTGGGGTTCGGTTAGGAGGGTAGAAGGTGGGGCGTGGGCGGGGGGAAGGTAGAGTATCGACCCATAGGAGGGATTCTTTGGAGTGTTTCATGTGCTTTTTAGCTTGGGTTTTCTGGCTTAATCGGCTCTGTCTTAATACAACTCCAAGCACAAAGGTTAACGCTAATTTCTTACTCTTGCCACTCCGTTTGTCTCCTAGTTGTTTTATTTAATTTCCATATATGTTGCGCGTGGTCTGAGTTCGTTCTTTTTACAGGTACCAAGTACTGGCAGGGGTGATTGAACAGCGAATGTTAGAACCACTTCTACACCAACATAAGCTCATCTTGAGTGCAGTCTGCTTTGCAGTCCGAACAGGCAACACGTTTCTAGGATCGTTAATGTAATAAAAATCCTTCAAATTAACGTCAAACATCATAATTAGATAAAACTTGTATCATCTTGGAAAATTTTCTAATTCTCTTGTTACGTTTGCTAACAGGTGGGTCGATTATGCACGTTGGGTTGGAATTCAAAAGATCCGAGAATGATCCGAGGATAATGTTGTTTTTGCTCTTCTGCTTGTTACATGGGAAAATAACCGATGGTTTGTCGTTTTGTTTGCCTTTCTACATTTGGTGATAAATGTACATTTGTTTGTAGAGTTCATGATTTACCTTTTGGTCTCAAGTTCCTCCCTACTTTTCGTTTTGTTTCACATGTTTTTGATAAAGTTTTTGAAACACTCGTGCGCCAGCTGGGAGTATCATGGAAACAATTGCTCTACTTTTTAAGTAGAGGTCAAGTTTGCATACATCTTTACCTTCCAGATGCTGTTTTGAAGTGGGATATACCAGTGTGTGTGGTTCTTTTAGGGGTTGTATTCATATGAGAAATCATAGTTCGACCTATAGGGGGATAAAGGGCCCTTTGGTACCGGATCCGAAGAAACTAGAATTGATGTGGTTGGACTAGGTACATTTTGATCCAAGAGGTGCTAAGGGACTGTTCACCAATATAAATTGGGTAAATGTTAACCTGGTAAAAGTACAGTCTTGATTAACACTAATCACTAATCAGTGCTCTAATATACGATCCCTCTCTTTTCCATAAAAATCACTTGGTTAGCGAAGGTTCATATAAGTTCAACATTTGCATGTATGCTAACATACAGATACACATCAAACACAAAATGTTAATATGTTTTAACTTATGTGAATCTCCGCTAACAAAGTGTGAACATACGAGAATTTAAATTAAGAGAGGGTTGAGTTCTTAATGAAAAGTTTATGTTTTTATAGTTTGAAATCAAAATTAAGGCATAAAAACAGTACAAGTCAAATCACGTTTGGATTTTGTCGGTTAAAATGTAAACAAATAACGACATACGTCATCATCTAGCTTCGATAAAAAAAAAAAAAAAAAAAGTGGTGGGACTGGTGTGAACAAAACACAAACGTGAGTCCAAAAGCATCACAACCATCGATTCCCAAGCTTGATGGGATTACGATTGTTTGTAACATCTTCAGATCTGGAAAGAGCGACTAATTTAACATTTATAATAGTTCATCAAACAAAGAATAAATCTTTTTCTATAAATCAATATTTAAATTATCTCGGATAGCAATTCTAGATTCAACATCAACGATTGATAAACCAAGCTTTACATGAAGACGAGGTTAAGGTCAAGTGTTACTAAAACCCAATAAAAGTCACTCTCTCCAAATACAGAAGACGTCGCCGAATAGCTAGATCCTTCTCGTTCTAACTAGCACTTAATTCATCATGGTGTCGCTAGTACCAAACTCCAACAACGATCTGTTGCACATGCCGACAAATCAAAATGGTTAGACTTAATGTCTACTGAGTTACAGTAGTTCATAAAACGGTAAACTGAAAGACTGCTGATTTAATTCATAATTTCATAAAAAAAATGTCTTAATCGCAAAAGCAACATCTTTCTGAAATCCACTGTTTTCTTAATGAAAACTCATTATCAAAACCCCCATTTATACGCAATCAAAACCCGATACCTACACGACCAAGAATAAGGTCCAAAGTTCAAATACCGAAAATATGAATGAAACTCAAGTATCCGAAAACAACTAAACATAAACAATAAACAACATCTGGAGCGTCAAACTGTGGATGTCCTTCATATCTGAAACTCACCTTTTGGTGACGGGGAAGACCCAATTCCATTAACGGTGATGGAACACAAAAGTAGGTCACTTATGGATTATACACCTTCATTAAGATCAACCTCTCAAGGTATATAGTATAATGAGTTAGCATGCCCAATAGTCCACACCTTATTGCCTATGAAGGCCCAATGCCTATTTCAAAGCAACAATACGGGAATGGCCATCCCAACTAAAACCAACTCCTATGCCTATGAATTCATTGCATTGCAGTCTAAATTACATGACTCTAAATGAATGATCACGCACTGAAAGCATGTAATATTTCAAATAAATATGTCATAGCTACATATAACTCCAAAGGTTCGACATAGAGGAAAATAAACTGGGAAAAAATCCTCAAAACTCACCTGAGTCAAAACCGAGTCAAAATCTCAACAACTTAAACGACTATTCAATAAAGTTCATCGTAAGCGGTAAAACGTATTTAACTAATGTTTATGCAAACACATGCTCCAAAAGTATGATTAACTCAAAAGCCCATCATCGGACAACAACCCTTCTTTTGGTAATGATGTTTTACCTCCTTCCGACTCTTTACTTCCTTCAACAACATTATCTAACACCCAATTTTTTTTAAAACATCAGTGAACGACCGAGGAAATGGTTGAGGAACGACCAAGAAAAGGGTCAAGGAACAACCAGGAAAATGGCAGGGTTGGTCGGCACACGGAATAATGTGACATGGGAACACGACTCGCGTGATACGGCTTGTGGCTGAGCTATGACATAAACCGCAAGAACTACTAATTTGAAAACAAATATGGAATTATACCGCATGGATTGGTAAGATAGTAATGCTATGGAATTTCAATGTAAGTTGAAAGTACCAGTCAATTCATAAATGAACATATTATTGACATGACTTATATGAATTAACAACAATTAAATAACCTTTTTTTGTACTATGCAACATGAATTGTTCATGAAATATTTGAGGTCAGTATCCAAAAGTAGAGGAAATTGCTCCCCTACATCTACATAGGCACATAATGAAGTGGTGCTCGAATCAAAACAAATTTGATTATGGGGTCTTCGTCACGTGGCACATGGAACATTACGTAGCGCAAGACATACAAAGATGGGATTATGGATTTTTAGTGAATTAGAAGTCGCGGAAACAAGAAATATATCGCCTGCGGTACAAGTATGCCACAAAGGTGTTGCTTTCAAAAAGAAATTTGCAAAGGAAAAGGGTGATTGATATCATAAGAAAGTGTGAACAAAATGGATAAAGATATGATATTAGTTGTTTTTGTACCTGTTCATATGTGAATTTATTATACTTCACATATAAACTATTTAATTGTTTCACATATGACCTATTTCAAATATGATATTAGTTGTTTTTGTACTTGTTCATATGTGAATCTATTATATTTCACATATGAGCTACTTACCTATTTCAATTATGATATTAGTTGTTTTTTTGCCTCCTCACATATGAACTTAAAGTATTCAAATATGATATTAGTTGTTTTTATACCTTTTCACATATAAATCTATTAATATCATATGAACTTATGGAATATCTTATGAATATATGAATTGACATATAATATCATTGGATTCACATATGATATTGGTTATTTTGTACAAGTTCATATATGGATCTATAAGTTCACATATGAACTATTTTCCTGATTCATGTATGAACTTATAGATTCACATATGATATCATAAGAAAGTATAAACTTAATGGATTAGAATATGATAATAGTTGTATTTATACCTCTTCATATGTGAATCTATTATACACACATACGTGAATTTATGAGTTTACATATTAACTATTTCAAATATGAGTTATTTATCTTATTCATATATGAACTTATGAATTAGTAACGCTCATAACAAGAAAAAGAATTAACATTTACTCCATTTATTCGTGAAAATAATTATCAACATATGAACTAATAAAATGTATCTATTCATCCACATTTTTCAATGGGCAATTAAATTGCGAGAATCATGATAGTCAATGTTTTGACAACTTCTACACAACCTCTTTGTCTTTTGATTATTTTTCACTGCTTTCTCCTCTGCACCGATCAAATGTTTTCCAGTTTCACAACCTTTGTTGCGTATGCCGGATGGTGGGTGAACATCAATTTTCTCTTGTTGGTTAACATTAAGGATATTTCTAATTTTTTCATTCTTCTTCCCTAATTTGGATTGGCATGGAGTATTAGTCTCTAACGCAACCCTCATATTGTGAATCTTGGCAGCAACCTCTTTAAACTTGTCCTTGTCATTGTTAAGACTCATCAATATATAATCCAAAGATGACTGTGCATCATAATTAATTCTTGCCACTTTGCCATTCGGGTCCATTGGTCTCCATGAAATTTGCCTTTGTTTTCGAGACATTCCTATGATTTTCATCAATAAGCATATGATTGTGCTTATTATCAAAATAATAAAGCTCATATGATGTTTTCTACTTTCAACACTTTGATGAACTGTATTAAAACTCCTTTTTTGTGGTTCCCTTTCTTTACTGCACACAACATATTTTATCTTCACAATATCATAATTGTTTGTGATGGTTGTCGAAAGTCTAACATCAAACCTAGCTTTCTCAACATACCATTCATACATTGAAATAACTTGCTGATAGGATTGAAAAAAGGTACCTATTCCTGGTCTCAATTCCAAATCTGCATTAGGGATCCAATACTTCAAACCACGGGATGATAGTATGACATTACAAACAGAAGATTCATATGCCAACGAATCATTTGGACCTATTACAAAAAAGAATGTTCACATATGATTATATTTCAAATACTATATCACATGTGCAGCATCGAATATGATAAGACATAATGCTACTAAGGGGTCGTTTATTAAATGCTTACACGGTAGGTGTTTACCGGGTAATTTTTCTCACCAGATAAACACAACAAGACCCAAGAATCTTACTCGGTAATAGTGATCATAAGAATAGAGAGTCTTACCCGGTAAGTGAGGGTAACGACTCTTACTCGGGTAAGTGTTTACCAAGTAAATTGTTGCATATCATTTCATTTTGATATACTACGATCTTATCCATAAAATAAATTATAGTGTTGACTTATAACGATAAACGCTTACCGGATAAGCATTTAGGTAAACAGCCCTAACTATAAATCTTGATGTATAGCTATTTATATATGAACTTAATTCACATATGAAATCCTACAAAATAGAATGAACAACTTCTTATAATTCAGATTCTACCGGTTTACATCATATAAATCCATTATGACAATTCAATTTCACAAATGAACTAATATTATAATGAACAAAATTTCACTTATGAAGAAAAAAATTATAAAGAATAAAAAGTGTGATTAAATAAACCAGTTCATATATAAATATATTTTGTAAATTCAAATTAATAAAAAAAATCATGAACATGATATTTATTGTTTTATAATGGTGTCAAGTTGATTTATGAACTAAAACATTTATCATGAACAAAAGATTCCAAGTCTGTTGTAAATTCAACACAAATCTTCACTTCATATATGAATCTATTTTGTAAATTCAAATTAACTAAAAATTATGAACAAAATGTCTTCTTTCCAAAATCAAGACAAATTCAGTTATGAACTAAAACAACTATCGTGAATAAAAGATTTACATTCTGCACACAAATCTTCAAGATTAATTAACTCAAATCAACATAATTATCTAAAGCTACCTTATTGAAAAATTAAGACATCAAAGCAACAAACAAAATATTTTCATCTTCAACAATCGCATTCTCCTCGTTCGATAATTCAACATTAACATCAAAATCGACATCTTGATCAACATTGCTTTCTGGATTCGTTATTGTAAGAATACACGATTTTGATCGATAAAGGATCAATAAAATTGATAATTTTTAAAACCTGGAATTGCGATATATGAACAAACAAAAGGAGAAAGAATCGCAGATTTGCTTGATTCTTTAGAATTGATAAAGTTTTACAGATTTTGGATTTGATCTACTTGATTCTAATACGGATTCGATTTGGTTAATTCTAATCTTTATTTGCAAATTACCATATTACCCTTCTTTTAAAAAATATAATCATTTGATCCAATGACTAGGATCACTTCTCTACTTCTCACACATTGAACACTTCTCATATATAATATATAGGGGGAAGATCAAATGTTAACCAACAATTTTGTGTTAACTTCGAAAACCATAGCAACCAATCAAATTTCATTCTTTTTGTAGGTTTATATCATGTTCATATTTTAATTACAAGGGTATTTCAGTAAATTGATTTGATATGTAACTCCCAAACAATTAATAAGGAGTTACAAATCATCAAATCCCAAAAAATATGCATTTATAATATTAATATTTTTATTTTTTTTAATATTGATCTTCAATGTTCATTGTTTTATCAGTATTTAATTCGCATAGAAAACACAGTAATAAAAATTTCCGGTATCGATCAAGCTAATATGGATAAACGCAATGGAAAATAAATCGACAACAGTGAGAAGATTAAAATGGTTTATGATGACAATCTGAGTTCAAGGCCGGGAATTGAAAAAATTAACCAAAGCGAATGTCTTGGTAATATATTTTTTATTTTTTTAGATTCGTTTTAATCGAAATTATGTTCATTACGATGTGTTGTGTTTTTTATAATTCATCTTGTATTGATAGCTTTTTTCTTTAATTATTAAAATACGTACCTAATTCACATGTTCAAATGGAAGTACATGCACGACCCATTTTCGTATTGTCAATTTGTCATATTACCAACTTTTATTAATCATGAACCATTGTGCTCATGTTACTTTCTATCATGTTGGGTCAGCAGACTCGGTGTTCCCTCGGCAGGTCAAATCCTCGTCCTTAAACCCACCGCTCTTGTAGCAATGCAAGAGCATCCCACATCGGTGAGGCTAGGGAGTCTTCTCTTCCTTATAAGGAAGTGGGAGTCTTCTCCTACCAGTGACGCGTTTTAGAAAACAAAACCGTGAGGGGTTGTTGCCGTGCGGGGAAACCCTGGGGCAGCCCAGAGCGGACAATATCACGTGGGCGGCTCCCTAGTGCAGTTACCGGTCCAACATATCATATGAACACAAGTGTTATTTTTTAAACTTGATACCAAATCTTTATATTTGTGTAAGTGTTTGCACCCGGTGTTCATAGCGTTGAGATTATGTGTTCATATATTTTATACGATATGAACAAGGGTGAACACGATATGAACAAGGGTGAACACGATATGAACAAGAGGTGAACACGATATGAACAAGGGGTGAACCTTAAACGGTGTGGATGCAATGCATGTATAAAACTCCAATTGACAAAGGATCGCTTCTGAATGTGTTTATAATGAAGAAACTATTGTTCACAAGCTGTTCATATCGTGTTCATACCTGTTTTTTTCTTTCGTGTAGCAGTTATTCTTATTATGTTCATATTGTGTTCATAAATGCTATGCAGTCCAAATTCATATATATGTCAAAATTTTGTTCGTATTTGACACAATGGTTCATATATTTATAGTTGTGTTCATATTGTTCTTACATTAACAAAAATAAATTAACAAAAAAATCATAGAATTTTTTTATTTTGTAACTCCCAATTAATTAATGATATGAGAGTTACATAATTTTTTTTACCTAAATACCCTTTTCAACTTTGTTCACTTATCTTTATGAAATTTTAAATTTAAAAAAATAAGTTTTTATCATGATTAATCACAACCGTTTATTGAAAAATTGGATGACCAAGATCGGTTAACAAAGTTA